GGGTAGTGGGATGATAGGATTATGGATTACTTTAATTTCCCTAATCTCAGTCCATTTTGTGCTTCCCTAATAGAATACCCAGACTGGGTAATTTATAAAGAATACACAGTTATTTCTTACAGTTCTGGAAGTAGGGAAGTCCAAGATCAAGGCACTTGCAGGTTTAGTGTCTGGTAAGAGTCTCATTTCTGCTTTCAAGATGGCACTGGGAAAGCTTCTTCCTCCTGAGAGGGGAAAGTGCTATTCCTCAGATGACAGAAGAGTGGAAGGGGTCAAATACATTCCCCGAAGCCCTTTCATTGTGGCATTTATCCATTCATGTGCACAGACCCTCAAGAACTAACCACCCCCCGTTAGACTCCATTTCCCAGCACTGTTACATTGGTGATTAAATTTCCAACACCGGAGTTTTGGCGGGGACAAACATTCAAAACATAGCAACCCTTTTTGATCTATATTTTCTGAACATCTCAAAAAAGTATGGATTATATTTATAATCCAATAAAATCAACTAATTACAAATGAGATTAAAAAAAAAGATTCACAATCACTACAAAAAGAATTCAAAGAAAATCACAGAAGATTATATAATTGAATGGGATATATTTCTAGCCTAAAATATGGCCCATGATTTCTATTAAACACTGATATTCTCTGTGATCTTAGGACAATAGTTTTTCTTTTGAAGAGATATAGAAGATATCCTCTCGTTATTGTCTAACCATTTCTTAACCAAAGATGGTCCCTACAGGAAATAATTTGACTGCACATATGTTCCAAAGTTCATGCTTATTTCTTTACACTACACTGTGTCTATATTTATGTCTTCAAAAGAGACTTGAATATAATGAGACATGAGAAGAACATTTCTTTTACTCTCTTTCATCTTATTCTGCACTACCCTTCAACTTCATCCAACTATACTGAGCCTGTACTTCTGTTATAATTGCTAATGCATAAATTGTTATCACTAGACTCTGGGCTCCTTGAAGACTGAGACATGGTGTAACTCGATCTCATATCCCTGGTACCTAGAACACTGCCTGGCCTATCTGTAGCATATAATTGTTTGCAGAATTTATTAGGTAGCTGCCATTTTCTCCCACATTCCTTCCACATGTCAGAAGTATCAGTGCTGCTAGATTCTTGAACTCTGGATTCCAAGAGAACCTGAGAGCCAAATTGCTCATTTTTCTATGTGCACCTTTATATTATACTAACATTTCAAGAATTGCTTTGCTTTCTGGCTTTTTTTCCTTGTTTAGAAAATCCTGGCAATGAGATACTTTAGAGAGCAGCCCAATGTCTGACAAAATCTTTGTTTTCTGACCTATAAAAGAAATTAAACTCTCAACAAAAGAACAATTCTCCACCTGCAGGCCTAAGCACAGAACTTTAATGTAAATGACAATTGCAAGAGCCCTTAGAAAGGTGATGGGGAAGGGGGTGAAGTCATGTGACAAGATTTCTACTCTGTCTCAGCCATTTTCTTTGGCATTTAGAGGGAGCTGAATGACAGATAAAGCTTAGGGCTTAGGCTGCCAGGAACAAAATAAAATGCGGGTAAATGTAATCATTTGTTCAAGTCTTTAAATATCCTGTATAGCTTTCAAGCACAAAGCAATCTTCCTATAAAGAAACAAACCCAGGATGTGGTCACAAGGTAGAGTTCTACCCCTTTGTGTTAAAGTGCCTTAATGATCAGGAAAAAAATAGATTTGCATGAATGCTTTTTATGGAAAGCACTTAACACAATAGTTACGCAAGAAAAACTTCAGCACAAGTGGATAAAACTGATATGATGAGTCATGCTATGTGGTTTGAAGCCACCACAAGTGAATGCTTTTAATTCAACCTTTGTGAACCTAGAAGATCTTTTATAGAACTTTGAGAGTATCCATGGCATTGACAAAATACATTTAGCTATTTGAATCATAAGATTGAAGGACAGTCTGATTTAAAAATAATTCAGGTGAGTGGCATATGGATGCCAAAGCTTTTACTGAAAGCAGCATTGATCATTTATTTTTCTGTCCAGGTATCATGTTATACACACGCACACATGTGCACTGGCACATACACACAATGACATCACCTTAAAATCTGAGTAATATAGACAGAATAGAAATATATTATAATTGGCCATAATATCTTCCCATGTAAGCACATTAGTGATGCTTACTTAATCTTTTGGCATCAAGCCGTTCTCTGGATTAAGAAGTATGGCTTTTTGTTTTAGTTTCATGATTTAAGTTTGTAAACACCTTTGCTCTTTGAAGAAAGCAATAATCTAAGATGTTTTTTTAATTTATTGACTATATCTTTGATGCTTTTCTAACACTATTTGGAGATACTCTGGAGTATTTAAATTACATGTGAAAAATCTGGCCTAATTGTCACTACTATGCCATGACAGTCATAACACATTGATTATGGCATTTCTTTCTGTTGACATCAAATGGTACCTCAGAATCCTTTGCAGTAAAGTGCTTAAAGAAGACACAATAAATCAATTAAAATGATCATGTTCAATAAAGCCTACTTTTTATTCACGGTATATTTTAAACAACTTAAACTTCAAGGTTGTGATTTTCAAGTATCCACACTTATCCAAATGAACATTTGGCAACACCGGCTTCTGCAGTAGAAATTATTAATGCAGAGGCTCGTTTTAAACTGCTGTTATTTAATTCTTCTAGTATTTTAATGAGTTATCTCAATCATACATTCCTTTTATATCATATTCTTTGTAGCACAATGTGAGGCTCATTGTAGTGCAATCAATAAAAATTGTTAAGCAATCAATTGATAAGGAGATGATTTGTCTACAAGCTGTGTTGATGTAAAAGAAAGAATTTTGTACTAAGAAGCCAAACATTTGAGTCCTATTCTCCTTTATACCTGCAAATAACTGTGGCTTTGGACATGTTTTTCAACTTTTCTGGGCCTCAGTTTTCTCATCTGAAAATAGGGTGATGAACTAAATATTTTCTAAGGCTTCCTCCATTAGAAAATGCTTTTATTGCTCTGAGGCACATGCATAAATGGGTGTTCAGGCTCTTTAAGAGAAATAAACTTCAGTAAATATCTATTATCAAAGGTAAATTTATTCTTTGTCCTTCCATTTTGGTTTTCTGAACCTCCCACTTTTATTTCCTTAATTTATTTAGAAAGTCCAATATTCAGGTAGAGTGTGGTTCTGAGAAATGGTAACGCCATCTCCTCCCATACACAACTGATCAAACACACACACACTCACACACACACACACACACACACACACACACACACACACACACACACACACTAGATTAATGAAGAAATTCCCTTGAGTTACTAAGTTCAAATTTTACTCAGTTTCATTCCCTGCCAAAAGGAGCTATTGGGGACCTGGTGATCCTACTAGACTCATGTCTAGGGAAAATCTCTTTATGTCTCAGTAGTCCCTACCATTTCTGCATGTGCTATTCACTTTGAAAAACCTTTCACCAGGAAAATTCTTGTGTCCTCTTATAGACTGTGCCAAAATGCCAGCTCACAATTGATTCCTTTGTAATTCTACTTGTCAGTGCTGGGTACTCTGCAGTGCTTTCTTGGTACTTTACTGGTGCCTCTGTGGAAGTTATATATTATAATTTGAAAATATCTGTTCCTATGTTTGGCTTTCCCCACTACTTAAAAACAGTCATAACTTAGGTACATGTAGTTTATCTTCAGGGGATGTGCTAGACCTGCTCCTGTAAGATTCTGGAGTTCACCTAATCTACCATTTCAAGGTAAGTCCCAGAATGGTATTCAGGGGCATTCTCGACCTCTTTCTATTACCATACAAACTTAACTCTGATACTTATGCATGTCAAGTCCAGAATTTCCCTAGAGAATCTCACTAAAGTTTTCAACCTCTTTAAAAATGAAGCTTACTTGAGAAGAGGGTATACAAGAAGGCTTTAGATCCAAGGTTTTTAATTATTTTTTAAAGAATAATGGATTTAGCATATTTAAAAACTAAAATAATTTTCTTTCATGTTACTTCCATGATTATCTGCATATGTTAAGAAAGAACCTGTAATCTAAATTCTTAGAGTTTTGTTCCTAATCTTCTAGTTCTCATAAGAAATCTGACTTATACAAGCACCTGACTGGCATTTGACAATTCCCAGGGGAGTTACTTCCAAAGTATGGCAGTTTGCATTAATTTTCTCATCTCTAAATTCACCTGAGACATCTGTCTTCACATGGGTACAAGTCTGTGTGTCTATGTGTACGGATTTAATATTTAACAGCACGTAGGATCAAGGATTTAAAGCATCAGCTACAACTAGCGTATGATCGCAAATGCACTTGTCAAATGGATTGGAAAAGGACTTTTTTCATCTCTACGTCCACTAACACCTCTTATTAGACAAATCATCATTATTGGTGATCTCTGACAACAGACCTTTCCAAGTCTGATTCTGTCATTTACTTGGTAGACATGTTGACTGCAGCAAGCAATCCCCTATCATCAAGTTTTCCAGATGTTTGCACAGCGGGTTTGGTGTTTTTAAGCTATCTAAGAGATGGTCTCAAATGACAAATGTTCATTTTCAAAATTAAAGCTTATTACGAATTACCTGCCAAGTACTATGTGTCAGGAGAGACTGAATGAATTAGAAATGTTGTCCATTGAGAATGAATGAATAAGAAAAAAAAAAACATAAATGAGGCAAGCTATTACACATCCTAGAGGGACATAGGAAGAATTTTAAATAACAGTAATTTACTAAAAGCTGTTGCATTAATACTTATGAATTACTTAAAGATGCTTGTTCCTACCTTTTGCCATGAGTCAGGCTTCAACTTTTATAATGAAAAATATAATGGCTAGGAAAGACAAGGATAATTTCTAAGATGAGGCTGTTTTTTTCTCTTTAATCATCAGCTGCAGAGGTTCGGGTTTGATATACTGGGAGAAAAATGGTCTGATACAGCCATCAAAAAAACTGAACTCACTTCCCTTTTTGCTGCCTTCTTGCTGTGTGGTCTACTTCTGATGACTAATCCTTGAATCCCAGCTTCCTCATCTATAATATGGGAATAATAAAGCTTGAAAAAATAGATTGTGGTTAAAATGAAGTAAATGGAAATAACTATTTGAACATGCTTTGTGAACTATAAAGTACCATGACTTTATACTAAGGTCAAAATAGCATTTACTATGGTATATTAAGTACTTACTATGTACCAGATACTATTTAATCCTTCACATATATCATCTTGTTTAATTCTTGCAACTATTGAAGGTAGGTAATGTCATCTCCATTTTAAAGATGAGAATACTGAGTTTTATCTAGAGTTAAGTAACTGACTTAAGTAAGCGCTAGCTTGGGTTGTGGGCAGGATTGGAACCAAAATGTCTAATTCCAAAAACATGCCTTCCACCTCAGTGCTGTGATACTGTCCTTTAATTATAAGAGTGTAATGCTCAGTGACACCACTTTGTTGTAAAAAAATTTTGTAGCTTTCATTTAAGATTGCCTTCAGATACAAATTCATCAAGGCACACAAAGCAAGCAGCCTAATAGCTCTATAGACAACTCTTCCTTTTGACACCAAAGAGCATCATTGAGTCTGTGTCTGATCATCCTGCATCTCAGGCAGAAAGACAATGAATATCCACAGCCAAGAATTCTGTCTTTTAGAAGATTCCACAAAATTGAGATTCATTTTCAAAATGGCTGTGGATCTTTTTTCCCTCACGTCTTCATAGCACTGGGTATAACATTAATTGTAATTCCAACCACATGGTATGTTAACTGTTTATTTACATATTCAGCTTCCAACTAGCGAGAATTTTTCAATTACTATACCCTAGAAGCAAGAATAGAAGGTTCATACTAATATTTGAAGAAATGAACAATGTAAATTCTCTTGTTGCTGCCTAGGGAAATTTTTGGTCCCAAATAGATAAATATGAAACCAGGCTGACCACAGAGTCAGGGTTTGCAAAATAGAAACATCTAGATTTTCCATCTTTAGAATTATAATCAGCAGCAGGAAGCAAAGCAATACCACTGTCCCTGTTATAGGAATCTAAAAGCTTTTTATAGAAGGCACAGCAGCAAATGTTATCACTATGCTTGGAAAAACCATTTTCATTATCAGTTGCTTTTTTTTTTCAATTGATTATGACTTTTTCTTTAAAAAAATGTGTTTAGGCAAAAATTTTCTATGCTTGATTTAGCCCAAGGGAAAATTTTTGGTGAGTGGGGATGGGAAGAATACACCGAGCTGAATTCCTTCTGCTGCTTTTAAGCTATACACACATGGGCAAAATATATTACATTTTACTGGAATTGGTTTTTTTTTTTTAATTCTATTACTTAGAAAGAGCTTAACAATGAAAAATATAGCTTCATGGTATAACAGTCTTCATTGTGCAAGCCAACAAATGATCACAAGGTAAATTTTTCCCAAAGTTATAAAGGTTTGAGTGGCAGGAGAAAGGACTCTTTCTAAATCATTTCTTCTTTGTCTGAATGGGTTGCATCGGACTGAAGCCTCTTCAGAATACTGAGGATACACTGATTCATATTAGCAACCTCCAAAGTGAGCAGAGAAAGCCATAGAGGTTAAGGCTAGCATCATTTAAGACAAACTGAATTAATGGGGCCACTCAGGATAGAGTGTGAATGTATTTATATATCTGGCTTAGCCTTAGGTTTTGGGTTTTTTTGTAAGCAAAGAGGGAGGGCAAGAGATAGAGATGTTTAAAGCTGATCAAAGCTCTTTAGACCCTTCAGAAAAAATAATTACATAGATGAGAAATCTGAGGCTACCCCCATTATGCTGGACAAAGAGATAGTGCTCCCTGAGAGCAAATACTAAGATTTGTTTGAGCAAAGCAGGGGATTTAGAAGTCTAGGACAAAATAGGCTTTCCATTTCATAGAAAAGAAAAGATAAATAACTTTAGAACAACATTTTGATTTAGCAGATGTAAGGGACCTCTGAATTTAAATTTCAATATATAAATCCCAATTTTGCCATGTAAAATTAATAATGGATTTCTCTAAAGCCTAACCTTCTTCAACCTCTACTGTAATTCTCTTAAGAAAGCATTAAATGAAAGCATTTCACTTTAGTTGAAAATCAATGGCACTTCAGTGAAGCATGCGTCTCCCAAGTATTATGGAGTTGAGAATCATATAGTTCCGCTAGTAAGACATGGGGCCCTGGCTTTGGTAGTAATAACTTCGTACAACATAGGAGGCTTTGAAAAAATTTCACGCAAAATAAGAATTTGAATATTCAGTGTGAGCATGCTCAAATTCTCTTTGAAATCCCAACCCAGATACATCAAAATATACATAATGAGGATGATATGATAACAATAGGAATGAAGATAGTAATAATATAAATAATATTTATTTACTGTTTAATGTAGACTAGAAAACAATTCCCAGAGCTGTGAGTAAAGTTAGAAGACAGAAGAAACAGGAATATCTCCTGGGAGGAAGAAACAGTTCAGCTGGGTTTGAAAGATGGGTAGAATGAAACAGTGAAGTGAGGCCCAGGGGAAATTGTGATGTGTAATGGCTTTGAACCTAGGGTATATTCGGAATGCCAATTTTGCTGGAATTTTTGACATATGAATGAGCAATAATGTGGGCAAAGATTAGATTATAGCAGACCTTTACTGTCACTCTAAGGAGTTTAAACTTTATTTGGCATTCACTGGAAAGTTGTGGAGTGGAGGTATAATATGGTCAAAACTCTGCTTTGGAAAGATTAGTCTGGCAATACATTAACTCGTTCATCCAAATTTTTACTGAATAATAATGTCCTGTTATCCTATGCCAGGACTTACCCCAGGCAATGGGGATTAATGGTGAATATGATTCATCTCCACTTGCCTAGAAATTATAATCAAGAAAGTTAAACATAGAACGATGTTTTCCATACTATAATAGAGAAAGTACAGGTTAGCACCTGAGAGGACCTTCTCTGGAATTGGGATAATAGAAACAAACTTTCTGTAAAAATTGATTTCAAATTGTGTGTGTGGCATGTATGTGTGTGTGTGTGTGTGTGTGTGTGTGTGTGTGTGTATGGGGGGCTTATTGGATAAGAGCGTCAATCTGTGAAAAGGCTCAAAGGGAAAAATGTGTTTCAGGATGTGTTTCAGGAACTTGATGCAGGGCTATTTGCTTTCCAACCACATAGATTCTTAACAGCCTCAGTTATGTGCACAGGGTTCCTGTTTGCTTCATCCTGCAGACAGGGCTCACCATCCGTCAATTTCCAGGAGAACCAATCAAGCATTATGCACAAGGACCTTATGAAAGCAAATTCTGTTGAATTAAATTGGCTCTCTTCATAGACCCAGAAATCATCTGGTCTGAGATTTTTTTTAATACCAAATATGAATGATTCAGTCAAGCCTGAAATAAACACCTTGATTGAGTGTGGCTTTTATTGTTCATTTATTCATTCAATTATTCAGTATTTGTTGTTTGTCAACACTACAGAACTCACTATACTAGGCACCTCCCTTTTCTAATCCTTTATTCATAATTAATCATTTTTCCTTATAACACTTTTTATAGTTTTATTCTGTCACTCCAAGTTATATATCTAACTGTGTCCTCAAGTAGGCTGAAGCATTTTGAAAGGATAAATTGCATCCTCATCTCTGTGCTCCATTCAACCAATGGCAAGGATACATAGGGGTTTTGTAAATGATGGATGGATGGACAGGTGATAGAGGGAGGGATAGATGGATGGATGGATGAATGGCTGGAGACAGATCTGAATAAGACATTTTTTTTTTCTGCCCTCAATAACTTTATTTTTTAATAGTGCTTCTCCAAAATGAATAGATAATTAGAAATATTTTCCACTAGTCAGGGCATAGTGTTTTCTCTTTTCATTTTATGTTTACTGCTGTAGTGCCATAATCTTATCATGATCCTAAAGATACCACTAAATAGCCTCATAGGAGATTTAGAGTTTGAAATAGTTCTTTATATTAGTTAAAGTTTGATTTTTAAGTCTCTGGAAATACTGATTACTGAGTTTTATCTTTTAACTAAGAAAAAAGCAGCCCCAAATTCCACATTTTAATATGCTGTTATTTTGCTTAAAGTTAGATGCAATCGAGGTGAATAAGATCTAAAGAAAGTCTGCAGTCATCATTAATTCAAGAACAAAGAAAAAATATGACTTTACCTTTGCACATAATAGAATTAATGCTGTTTCAAACTCTTCTATCCAGTAATTCCATTTGATTGCCATTTCCCCAGAAGTGCTGCCTTATTTTCTTCTTCCCATTTAGTAGTTCAGCACATCTTTAGTGATTGCTCCATGCTGTAGACTTTGGTTTGGTCAACCTGGCAAAAAAAGATTCAAAAATTTCAACAGGATTGTCTATGTAGACTTTTGTTTCTCAATGACTTATTTAGAGAAAAACAAATAAGATTTTTATTTCTTTTGTATGTATTATTGGAGAAGCATATCTTTACATTTTTTTGGAGTGTAATGATTAAATAATATGAAAGGTGGTTTCCCCTTGAACTCAGTTAATTATGTAATACACTCTAGGAGTTAGGAAATGCCATGATGTAACATACAAAGGATGATAATTATAGTCAGTCAAACTAGTTCCTCAATATTAATGAGCTTCAAATTCCTATTCTATAAAATAATAAAAATAACTTTGAAATGATATTATAATGTCATTTTAGGAATTTCTAAAGGTAATAGGTGTAAAATCTACCAGGTATTATTCTTGTATATGATAGATTATAATTTATTGAGTGATCACTTATTGTGTGGAGACAGAATACTAAGTAAGCACTCTACCTGCATTTTCTCATTTGGTATTTCCCCAAACTCTATGATATAGATTTTATTTTATCATTATTTTAAATGAAGAAACTGGCACATAAGGAAGGGAAAATTTGACATAGATCATAGAGCTGGTACATGGGAGACCAGAATTCAAACCTACTTCTTGATGGGATGTGGTTATAAGGTAATATTGAAATTTCTGAGCTGTGTTTTTCTATCAAATAAAGAAAAATCTGGACTTAGTAAGGAGAGACTTTACTTGAAGAGGGGAGACATGGAGGGGGAAATGGACTATTGCAATAGAGGTAAAGCTCTGTCCATAAGATCAGCAATATCTCAAAGGTTAGGAAAATAGGGTTCTTTTTTTATTGAGACAAGGGAACGAGGCTACAAAGAACTGGCTGTGAGATGTAAGGGTTATATAATTCCATAGCAGATCACATGACATTTTACTCTGACACAAGCCTGTTTTCAGGGCTGGGCAGTTTAGGAGTGGTTTGTGCTGACTCAGGCTGAGGATTAGTCAAAATTCGGAGGTCTAAGGGAAGGTGAGAAACTCAACTAAAGTTTGAGTATCAATTTGTTCTGATTAATCACGAGGATAAGCAATTCAGCACCTTATCATAGGCAAACAAGGGAGAATCCATGTGTCTTATCTAACTCATATGGAAGAAGGTCATCTTTTTGTGTCCCAGAGCACAAAAGGATAGGGCGATTTCTTAACCTTCACTCTTTTCCAAGATCACAGGGTTCACATAATGATGAATATTGTCACTTCCCACTGGCTAGACATGATGAAGATGAGGAAAACTTTGGAAACCACATATGCAGAGTGGCGGGGTCTCTGGAGAACATTGTAATCACCTAGAATGTTAATTGACTCAGTATATTTTAGTAATTTTTTGCTACACCAGTTTATCCAGCATCCTAAATAGTAAAGTACTTAGTCTTAGAACCCATGCCCATGTGATTTGAGCCAAGTCACTTCAGTTCATCTCATGAAACTTAGTTTCCCTATCTGCTAAATGATGGAATTGGACTTGACAAATACATATTAATAGAATTATACTAGCTCTGATCTTCAGAAATTTATGAAGACTTGTCCAACTGCCCTGTGGTTTGATGTGTAGAATTAGAGGCTGAACCATGCCTTAGCCTTTATCCTGATACTCAGGCGACATCGGTACAGGGAGCCATTTGGGGATGCTCTGGCTTTAGGTATCAGTGACTATCTGTAGCGCTTTCATCAGCCATTCGGAATGATGATATCAAAGTTGCTTTTGTCTTCCATTCTGACAATCAATCATGCATCCTTTTTAAAACTTCCTTTGCATTACCTTGCAAAAATGGGGTGATTCTTTGATTTCTGATTTTCTAGTTTTTCTAATTTTCTACATTTTCCTTTCAGTTTTTCTATGAAATTTGTGTGTGTGTGTGTGTGTGTGTTGTAGAAACTCACTTTTGGGTGTTGTTTCATGCCTTTCCAAAGGCCAGCGCTGGTTTTTCTACTTATAATTCAAGAAGCATTGTTGAAGCTTGTCTGTTTCAGGAGAGGCCCACAAAACTTATCCATGCTCAGTGGAGGATTTACGTTAGCCTCTACCGTGTGCCTGCATTTGGATCCTTAGCGTAAGTTCATTGAAGCAGGACTCTGTGGGTCTTGAGCAGAGCACTAGTGCTAAAATTACCCACTTACCACGCCTTCAGGGATACTTAGAGTTTCAAAAATATATAATGTTAATAATAAGTGGATTTTTTATTATTAATATGAGTGACAGCCTAAAGTGGGTTTTCCAATGAAATAAAGGTATGTTAGAACTTTAAGTAGTACACCCATACCTTATTATGATTTTTGTTCAAATTGGAAAGCATTAAGTACAAACCTGGTGGACATATGGCTAGGAGAGCAGATGTGGCAGAGCAGGTGTCTTCAAGCACTTAGGTACAGAGTGGATGAGGCCTAAATGCAAAGACGTGTCGGTGACTTGCTGTCCGTGTGAACTGGAAAAGTACTTCATGTCTCCAGGCCTTGGTTTTCTCAACTATAAGATAATGATAAGAATAATTACCATAAAGTACACCAGAAAGGAGGGAATAAAACAACATGTATAAAATATCTTTAGCTCTGTAGGCATATGGTAAACATCCATCAATGTCGGGCTTGTCGTTAAGTCCATATCGTTATTTAGAATTGACTCACCCAACTGGACTTACAAAAATTCACAAGTCAAAACTGTTAGTTATAAACCTAGGAGGTAGAGAACAGAATCTCTGGGCTCAATGTGGACCACTGTGTGGGTTTATAAGAAAATTGTTCCCCATGGAAAAACAAACATAACAAAAATCTAAAAGTAATGTTTGCAAACAGGTTTCATATTAGGCTAATGTAGCTAATTCCTCACCTCCTCATCACAATCAATATCAACCTTTTCTTCCCTTTTCCTTTTTTTGTACCTGCCCTACTTATATCACTGAGTTCTTGTCCATCCTCCTGCTTCTTACTAGACTCTGAAGGCTGCCACTCTTGGCATGTTCTCAGATGTGAATTTTCTTCATTTTTTTCTGCTACAATTCCATCAGGAGACAACAACAGGGCAAACAACATGGAAAATCAAAATCAGTATATATATATATACACACAAAACACACACATATATAAAATTAGATTAAAAAAAGAGAAGATATGGACACAATTTGCACAGACGGACTGGTTTCAATGTGAATAAAAGTAAGGGAGACTGATTTTGGCAGGTCGATTTTATCAAAAAAGATAATTGAGTTACATGGTTTGGAGTTACACAGAGCATATATTTATGGGATAATTGAAATATCTCCCACTTACCAGGAGCTAACAGATCCAGTTCTTAAAACTCAATGCTGTCAAATATTGAAATAAAATAATCAAGAAGAAGAATATCATTCTTAAGAAAATATAATTTGTTAAATATAGGTAAAACTTTGTACTTAGGAAGTTCATAAGTATATTTGACTGGCCATTGTTATCTGGGAACTTTTTGAATGTTGATGGCAGTAATGGGACAGAAATTAATCAACTGGGGCTGGTTTTAAGAAATGGCTTCAGCCCCTAAGTGGTTTGCCAAGTTTCTGTTAAACATCTCACATTATTGAGGATACAAGTCAAAATCACTTATCAGCAGTTCTTCTAAATAGCAAGGAACATGTATTAAAGAGGCCATGAAGGAATTTCTAATGAGAAAAAATGCTCTTACTTTTTGAGAAATTAACTGCTCCAATAAATTGCAAAGATAAAGTAGGAAAAGTTATCACAATAATGTCTGTTGTAATAAAACTAAACTGTACAGCTGATAACAGTTAAAATGCCAGAAGGTGAGTTAATGACATACTATTCTCCTAAAAGCCCCTTTGGTCCTTACTCTGAAATATAATTCTGAGACTCACATATAAAGGATATAGTGGGAGCTACATGGAAATACTGTATATTCACATGTTCTACAGATTAATTGCCTATGAACTTTTCAATATATGTAAATTGTAAAAAGCGGAGTATATTAAATGAAACTTTCAGGGAGGTGAAATAAAATAATTCTAGGACCAGCCATTGATTCTTGAAGTGTGAAAGAGACAAAAGTTCGGGAAGAGAGAAATCAGTCTGAATCGTTTGCTGACATTGGACAATTTCTATCAAAGATCATGAGAACAGGGGCTAAGGTGGAGTCATTGAACTTTCCCTAACACTTTCTGTGGATTCATGAATGTAGGAGAAGCCAGAAGCTTCTGTTATGATTTTCTGCAAAGTCTCAGGCAATCTAAGCATTGTAGCAATGCAGAGGAATTCATAAGGATAATGGAAGGGAGAAAACAAAAACAAACAGAAATAGCACAAGTGGAAATTGGAAAGCAATCTGAAGCAGAAGAGTTTGGGGCTAATAGTTTTACTATGCATTATTGAACTTCTCTCATACATAGTAATGATCAAAATGGCCATGCAAATAGATGTGTGTTTCTCTGTGTGTGTGTACATGCACATGTGTGTGTAGGGAGATAAAGGGAGGAGAGAGAGAGAGAAAAGAAGAAGAGGAAGAACAGGAAGGGAAAGACTGAAGACTGAGACAGTATTAGAAAGCCAAAGATACCATATGTACCCATGCTCAGATACTAAGGCTAGAATACTCAGGGTCAGCTTCTTGCCACATGGTAAAAGCCAAATGGTCCAGAGTATTTTTCAAACAAATAGCAGAAGGGAAATAAATAGAGCAGTCTCCTGTTACCATGAGTTCAAAGGGAGCCAGGCAAGCGCCCTAGACACATAACCACATTCTGACTAATTAAGTAAAAACAACAAAAAAAATGTAGTAGAACAATTATCCAAGAAATAAAGGAAATTGAAATCTGCCAAAACTCCATAAAGAAAAAAAGCAAGAAGAAATAGTACAAACCATGACAGAAGCAAACCTCTCTGCTCCGAGCCATCTGTGCCACCCATCAGCTGGTAATAATGTGACTCTGAGTAGCAATAGAAATAATCAAAGGAAAAGCTTTAAGAAGGCATGGCAACATTAATAGATTCTTTTCTGGGTTTCTGGTCTTTGTTTATGGATAATTATAATTTGGCAATGTGTTCAGAGGCCCATCATATGAATGCCTCCCTTGTGTTTTATTTAAGCAACAGCTCACAAAGGACGTGCTTCTGTTTACTACCATGCCAACTAAATGCTTGTAGAGGGAGAAAAACCTTCAAGTGATGCACGGATTTAAGATTGTGAGTTAAGTGAATTACAGAAGATGGTCCAACCAGATTCCTAGAAGAGTGTATTTAACATGTTTACCTGTCCAGTGAAGGCAAATTTAGTTATCTTATTTGAAACAAATTTTGCTTTCAAGTTATGGACATTTCATCTTCTATTTTAGGGCTTGCCTTCATATATTCCCAACACATCTTTATGTGTCCTTGGTTATAGTGAAATCTCAAAGAAATGGAAAATGAATAATCTAGCTTTAATGTACATAAGAACAGCTTATCCTGAAAAAATGAGGAAGTATTTTATGGAGAGGATATGGAAAACAATAAACTGTTTAAGCACATTTACATCGCCAGACTTACTTTCAAATATGGCTTGCCCCTTTCTTTACAATGAATTCTCAGAATACCAACACATCAATTAGTATTTGTTGGTTGCATGTAACTGGAACAAATTCTGGTTAATTTGAGCAAAAACAGAAATGTAATTAGTAAGGTAGAATTACTCAGAGATTCAAGGGAAGTGCTTAACAAACATATATCAACAAGGGAAGATAAGGGAATTCCAGGAATCTAGACAGCAAGAATTAATGGGCAGCTTCTTCCAAGTGCTATCCTGCAGATGGATGGAATGTGAACATTTTCAAACTCTGTGTTGCTCAGTTCAATATTAAAATTTTTGTTAGAGAATTTAGTTATGTCCTAACTTGTACCATTTATCTACCCTTACCAGAGGGAGAGTTGGGATACATGATCGGTCAATTTACCAAAACTGGCCAATGAGGAAAATTGAACTGCTGTTACCAGAAAAAAGAGAATAGATGCTGGAAATACAGAAAGCAATGCTATAATTAAGTACATTCATGATGACAGAGTAGTGTGCAAAATACTATGAAAAAACTCAACGTGATAAATAGTTCAAAGATATTTTATACTTTTTAAAATTTAATTTATAACTGTCCCATTAAAATAATAAAGAAAGTTATGTTAAGGGGATTCATAGTGAGCCACTATTTATTATGGATAAGTTACGTGTTAAGTACTGTAATAAAAAATTTCACATATATTATCTCATTAAATTATCACCTAAAATTCCTGTTAGAATTTATATATCTATTTTGTCCCCGTGGAAACTGAAGATAAAAAAAGTTATGTTGATTAGCCTATTCTCACTCATATGTGTGATAGACCTTAGAAAATGGCTCTATCAAATTAATGTTTAGTTCATTTTTTTGGTTATATTTCTATTACTTGTGCAGAGTGACTACATTGAGCCTATGATCGCAAAGTACAAATCTTGTATCAATAAGTAAAGAAATAAGACCTGGGTAATGATGCAAAAAAAAAAAGACACAACACTAATTCTTAAGCAGCCATCAATGTTGATGCTATAGCTAAAAAACATGTAAACTCATGTACAACATGATGAGCTCAGCTATACGTAGCAGATGGAACACCTACTTACCATATCTCCTCCCAAAACTCTCACTAAAATGAGAATACAAAAAGGAAATAAAACCACCAAGGGAATCACTGGTAAACCGGAGAGGAAAATAAATATTTGGAGCATAGAAAGCAGAAGAGAAGTTAGCAATACAGAAAATAGAATATCAGCACATTTTCTGAATCTATTATGTCATTTACTATAAGATACTCTATTAGTTTGTTTCATTAAAGAATAAAAATCACTGCTAATTATACCTGTTTAATTTATGATTATAAATGTCCAGTTATCTATTGCTGTATAAAAAGCCACCCTAACGGTAGTCACTGTAATCAACAATAGTATTTTCATTATCATCATTCTCAGTTTTGGGGGTTGACTGGGTCAGGGTTTTTCAGATAGTTGTGATTAGCTCCTCGAGTTACCTCAAAGTCTTTACTCACATGGATGATGATGATTAATATTAGCTGCCATGTGGGACTTCAACTGGACTTATTGGCCAGGACACTTACATGTGGCCTATATATATAGCTTGTGCTTCCTCACAGCATGGTAGCTGAGTTCTAAGAGCAAATATAACAAAGGAGACAGCTGGGAAGAGCAATATAGCTCCTTATGACCTGTTCAAGTCACATAGCCTCATTTGTACTGTATACTACTGGTTGAGGCAGTCACAAAGGTTCAGTCAGGTTCAGTGGAAGAAGACATACATTCCATGTCTTGATGGAAGAATGGCATGATCATAATATAAAAAGAATATGTGGATGGAAGCCACTTTTACAGCCATCTTTGGAAAATATAATCTTCCATAATGCTATTAAATGTAATATGATTGAGCACATTCAAAAATATTAAAATATGAAAAAAATATC